AAATATTGTTGCTAAGGCTTAATGTATGGTTATGTCCATTTCCAAGGCTTAGATGAAAACTACGTCAAAGTTTGGCTTTATATATTTTATAGTCCTGGCTACCTACCAAGTAAGACTCATACTAATAGTTATCGGGTTGTTGTTTTTGGTGAAGTGTAATTTTATAACAAACTCGAGTAGCCTTTATAACAAATGCGCTATTGTCCTCTGCATTTTACTATGCAGTAGATGAAATAGCGACATTAGACGATGGCTCCCTCGCTCTCCCTGAGCTCTGTGCCTCCTTGGAAACGCGAGCAAGGCAAGGGGCAGAGAAGCAATATTCTCAACATGTGGTGACTTCCCAGCCTTAGCTGCTCTGTCTCTAGGCCCAGAACAGCCCTTGGCTGTGTGGGGAAATCGTTACCATGAGTTTGGAGGAGGAAGAATGCAGCCTTTAAGCAGTAATTCTCCAGGGGATATCAGATGATCACAGGGAAAACCATGAAGTCAGTTCAGCTTCTGACTCTAAATTTCAAAGAAAACGAGGAGTGATAGAAAATTAAAGCTTGTTGGAAAACAGAGCGGTGCACATTTTAACATCACGGTACATAAATATTTCATTTTTTACCTCATCTCTCAAGTGAATCATTGTTTTCTTAATACGAATTATATCATCGCCTGTTTCTAAGAGGATGATCCAGGCAGTATTGTAAATACAGGATGGAACCAGCTGGAGAATATTTGCTTACACAAAACCCCGGAGAACTTGCTGTATCCGAGGCAGCTGACTCCAGGCACACAGCAGAAACAGCCCAGACCTCGGTACAAGGCACGCGACAGCCAAGTGGTCTGTCCCAATGCCACGAGCAGTGTGACATGTCCTCCGCACAAAAATGTATGCCATGAAAATCTGGATGCTATGCATTGCATCATATGTATATAGTTACATATTTAAATATAATTTACAGCCACACCAGTCACCAATGGAAGAAATGAGCAAAGAATATAAATATATACTGGGTTCTGCCTAATTCCTTTTAAGCCTGTGACCAAGCGGTATTGCCCCATTCCCAGCCTCTCTACCTTCTCTCTGGCCAGCCACCACTTGATATCATTTAAGTCAATAATATGGGCTATGAAGTCCTCATTGACAACACAAATTGGCTGTGTACTTTGAGGTTCAAAGCTAAAGCAAAAGATGAGAACTGCAGCTATTTTCACCCAGGTACAGAATATACGACTCATTAGTCAAAATTCTCATCTAGCTGTTTTGTCAGATGAGATATATAATTTGCCCAAAGTCCACAAACCAAGACCTTATTAGGCTCATTTAACTCTCCATTTTCTCCAGGAGTGGGAATAAAAAGTCAATACTGATCTTTCTAAAAACAATTTGGCAATATAAATCAAGAGTTTGAAGAAAGTCTGTATTCTGTGGGGAATGGGTTATAAAAAATAATCAGGGGCGTGGACACAGATTCAATATAAAGGTGCTTATCAAAGTGTATTTACAATAGAGACAATATGGAAAACTAAGTACCCCACAATAAGAAAATAAAGTATGATCCCTCTATATAAAGGAATATTGCACAGCCATTGAAAAAGCATGTCTGAAAAATTGTAACAACACTAATACAATAAAAATTAGAAGCAGTCATGAGTAAAAAATAATATTAAACTTCATATATACTATGATTGGCCTAATCTAATGTTTATGTATAGAATAAATACTGAATGAAAAGATAGTGAATTATATTGGTAGTTATTGCTGGGTGGTGCTGATTATTTTCTTCTCTGCATTTTTCTGTATTTTCCATAATGTCTACAGTGGCCTTGTATTAGTTTTATAATCACAAAAATAATAAACAATACAAATAAAAGATATCATATCAGGTTTGTACAAAGCACTGCACAAGGTATGAAGCTATGGAATAAAAGCTGCTCTGTATATATAGCTTTTAAAGGAGTGGTTCACACATAAAATTCACCCAGGAACTCAACAGTGAGGAAAATGCCCTGATGGGCTCGAGGAGTTTTGACATATAAACCAGTCTAGGTCTTCTCCCATGCTAAGGACATATCCTCCGTAGACAGAGGCTTACAGAATCCCTCCATTAAAGTATTCATCTGCCTTTCCCACAAGACATGACCTAGCAAGTCACTTTTAGTCAAATCTGAAAGAGGGGCAGAGGGCCCCAGGTAACATGATGCGCCCAGAACATGTCTGCAGCTCTGACAGGTGCAAACAACTTCACTCGTCTAAATATAAACCGACTCAGGCAGTTTGGAAAGTCTTTCCCTCTTTCTATTCTCATCAGCACAAGAATGTTCTCTTTTTTAGTTCTGACTCTTGGTGCTGGTTATTTTCATTTAGATTTTCTCTGCAATACTTTTTATTAAAAGAGAAGCAATATTATAACTCTGAGGGGGGGGGGGGAAGACTTTTCTTCCAAAATCTTGGACGAAGATAGGGCGTCAGTTTGGGCTGTCTTTGAAATGTGTTAAGTAGAAAAGGAGATAAGACATGAACAGTATTTTTAAAAACCTTCTGGATGAGCAAAAAGCTGATGTTAACACATGCATAAAGAAATGTTTTAATCAGCACAGCGGAAATTCTTTGGGGGAAAGTAGAGAGCTCTGCACCTTTGCCAATTCCTGCCATGCTCTCTCTCATTACCCCTAAACTCTAACTCCCCCTTCAGGATGCTGCTCAGTGGTCACTTCTCCAGTAGCCTTCTCTGACCTTCCCCTCTCCCTACCCCCACCTCCACTGCCACAAATGGGCAGCCTACCTGTTAGCTCCCAAAACACAGAGATTTGCCTTCCATACACTTCTCCCACATCATTATTTAATCTCAGAAATTCTTGAGAGTAAGATAAGAAAAAAGACAATGCTACTACTAATAGACACGAAAAAGAAAAGTTTAAGGGAAAGTAATAATTAGCTGTGATATGTCACTGCTAGTCTTTTTGGTTTATCTGAGGAGGGAGATGGTTGGCTTATTAAATGAAATGAAAACTAAATGCCAGATATTATAAAAGGAACTTGGTATGCATTGGCTAAAAGATTGGAATTGTCCATTTTGGCTTCCTTTCTGCTATTAAATGAGAGCACGAGGCAAGATCTCGATGTCCAAGGGCCAGTCTAGCCGTCAGGTTCTGGGTCTCTGGATTCTGCTGGAACAGTCCTCCAGAGCTTGCATCCCAGCTCTATTCTGATCGCAAATGAAACTGTGCTCTTTTCAGACTCGTAGATGCCACATTCCTACCTACCAATACCAAGACTGTGGTGTGCCACAACTAAGTTTAGCCCCACTCTCCTGGTCTGAAATAGTCATCTAAACCACAGGGGAAATTATTACCCCTGGTTTCCTAGATCTATGTAAGGAAGATGCTTCCAAATCCTAATGCTGTAAAGTTGTATTTACCTGTTTCAACCTTTTCCCAGTTTGGTGCAGATCACCCTTTGGCTGCATACATTTTGCAATACCTGTTGGCTCCTTTTCTTTGCCCACTCCGTTAGCATGCTCACTACACTCGAGAAACACAGCCAACACTTGGCTTAATAAATCTTCAACTCACTCATCAGCTAATAAAGGGAGTTTAGAGTTGGGAAAGGCAGTATTGCACAGAAACTTTATTTGCCAACCACCTACCAACAACAGCTGATTCACAGGTGGTCCTTTATCAGATTTGCCCATTGGGAAAGAAGGGAAGGACTAATGATTGCCCTTCAGACAGGGAGACTATGTCTGGGGACACTCTCTAAGCTGAAGGCCTGTATCAGATTTCTGTAACTGACTAGCATTTTAGTCTTAGATCCCTAGTAAAATTAGGATATGCTCTTGCACCCCTTAAAGCAGAATTTTCCAGATACCACATTCAACATAATGAATTTTCGTAAAGCTAAATATATCCAATGTAAAGGATTTTACTCTGAGATTATGTTCTTCCTGCATTTTGTTGTTATTACTGTTAAAAAGAACTTTTTTAAAAAATAAAAGAATAGTAACAGAAGATCGTAAGTTATTTTTTTTTAATTCAGCGACTTTACTTGGCACTTTAAAAAGCTGGCAATCTCTGTATCAACTTCCAAAAGTCATTAAAATTAGAAATTTTAAAGCTTTGAGCTGGTCATCCCTAAAGTGACCAGCTCAAAACAGATCCTAAAGAAGATTATATATCTGGCTATATAAATGTATATTTATTGATCTCATAGGAGAGGAGGGGCTTTTGGTCTCTTATAATCTCATTATTCTCTACGGACCTCAGGATCTACCATAGAGACCATGAAGGCCCTGTAGGTCCAGGTCGTTTTTATAACAGATTCAGGTCAGGTAATTTCCTCTAAAATATGCGGACCTACCTGAGAAACCCTCAGCTATATCCATGCGGGCACATCTGTGAGATGGGCCCCAACAACCACCTTATAAAAAGAATTGTACTACATTCCTTTCACAGTAATACCTGGACCGTGACGGGCACAAAGCAAGCGTCCAATAATTCTGACATTATCGCAGGAGCGAGGAATAACTATCCCAGAGAAACGCCACCTAAATGGGGGGGCAAGGCAAGCGTTTTCTCAGGGCCTCCCGTCTCCGCAGGTGGTGGGGAAGTCACGGCGTCGGTGAACCCCGCGGCTAAAGTGCAGACGAAGGCGGGGCCCGCGGACGGTGTGGGAAGCTCTGCCCGGCTAGGACTGAGCCTCGAAGGGGGAACTTGGCCGGCCGCGCGTGCCCAGGCCTCCGGCCGTAATGGGGTGCTCTGCAGGAAAGTGCCTCTGCCCCCTGGCGCCCGTCCCGGGCTCCCGGTGAAACAGCGACCCCCGCCCTCCCGAGGCCGCGGGATCACGTGGTGCAGGGGGGCGCTCCTGCAGCGCGGCTCCGCGGCGATTGGTCGCCGCTCGCGACCCGGGCACGCCCATTGGCTGCGGGGGGCGTTCACGTGCAGGGGGTCTGGGATGGCATCCCGAGAGCGGAGAGGTGGCCCGAAAGTTAAAGGGAGCCGCGCGGCGGCGGGGAGCCAGAGTCCCGGGAGGCGGGCCGTCCCGAGGAGGCGAGCGGGCTTCCAGCGCGAGGACGGATGCGGCTGCCTGCGGAGGGCACGGACGTGAGTCTCGGCCCCCGCTCCTGCCGCCGCGCCGGCTGCCCCGGCCGCTGTGGCACCGATGCAGCCGCGGGCTGGAGCCTCCGCACCTCCGGGCTTATGAGCTGGACCAGGTACGTCCCCCCCGCACACACCCCCGTCCTGGAGTCCGAGCGCGGGGCCGCGGACACGGCGGCGGGGGCGCGCAGTGGAGACCCTCTTTGGTCCCTGCCGTCTGCGCTCTCTCCGTCCAACTTGCAGCTGGACTCCGGGTGGGACACTCTAGACGGGCTCCGGGAAGCTGTTGCTCCCACATGGAGCGGGCAGCCGGGGACGAGAGGTGGGCTGGCACCGGGCCAGACCCGCGAGCTCCACCGGAGTGCGGTCCCCGCGGGGCAGGGGCTGGGACCTCAGCTCCCTTTGCCCTCTATTGTCCCTGGAGAGTGCCGCCGGCGTTGGGCGGTGGGGTCTGGAGCACTAGGAAAAGTCCATTCTTCTCTCTCGGGGCCTCGCTTCCCCGTAAAACTCAGGGAAACACACTTGCTCGTCTCT